TTCGTTTTATTTTGATCATTTCTATGGGTCATATTACCTGCCGATTTGTTCGTTCTGAATCAGAAAAACCAATAGTGAAACTGTGGCTTTAAACTAGCCTACCTACTTCAAAAAAAAATAAAAAAATAAAATAAAAATGCATTTATGCTATAACTTTAAGTTTCTAAGCGATTTTTGTAAATAAATTGCAGGACAGTGTTAACGAAAGGTTCTTAATGATTCTGTGTGCAATCTGCACGTAATGTGCGACCTATTGTTTACGTGTGAGTTTACCAAAAGGAAGCATCGCGTTAATGAACGGCAAATCATTTGTACGGAAATTATTTAAAACGCGCGTTCCCCCGATCAAAATTAGCATCCAGATAGCATAACTTGCTCGTGATTCAACAACTGAAGTGATACGAAGTTCAATTAGGGACAGAAAACGAAAAGGTTTTGAGCCAAGCACTCACAGAGTTGACCCGGCAGATGTTGAGTGTGGACTGACCGGGACTGAATCTGCAGCGCGGCTTACTTAGGGCCTGCTGGGGCGGCCTGACGCTGGAGGAAGACCCGTTCCTTCGAATTAAGAGGGCGGCATTGCCTTATGGCCATTTCTCTATGGCAGGAATTATTGAATGGGACAGTTTAAAGAAATACGCGGAAGTAGATTGCTGATGTTTCGCCCGCGGTGGCGAGGACCCGTTTGTTTGGCCTGACGCCCACGAGATAATACCAGAGGATTGTGGCAAAGATTCCTAATCCTGAAGGACGAAAGATTCTTCATCAAACGGGAAGCGCTCGATTCGGGCATGTTAGGAAGGTACTGCGGGGCCAAATGCTGTTAAACTGTCAATGAACGGAGGTAAGTTTGCTGTATATATACACAGCGCTTAACTCGTTGATTAAGCACCACTCGTGTCTAATTAGGTTTGATTATCTGAATGTGCTCCACGTGTGTTTAATTAGGTTTAATTATCTGAACGTGCTCCTCCCGAACTTTGTTAATAAAACATCATTTCTTAAGACATGTACACTTTTAAAAATCGAAATTCAATTCCAATACGTAAGAACTAAAGCAACTAAACCTAAGCAACTAAAGAGGATGCATCGAATGCAGACTTGAGAGATTCGAACAGTTAGAAATCCCAGAAGATGCTGCGGTCGGACAATCTTCGCCTTCTTTTTTAAGGTAGCCTGGCAAGACCAGTCTCCACGAGAAGGTAAGTCCTTTCTTTGCGTTCTTGGAATTGAGAAACAGCCTGCTTCTATTGCCATCTTGTTTGTTTTTATAGCTACCCTTGTTAATCTCCATGACAACAAATCACCTTCACCTGTCCCTCATTAGCCCGTTGTCATCTAGTGTATTTAAACCCTCAGTTATCTTCTGATAATTGTCTTGTGTTAACGTTTCATGATGGTGTTTATCACTGATGATTCCTGGTGTTTATTAAATGTGAGTTCATTGTTCTTCTGCGTCAAGCCTCTCTGTTTGGAATCACATCAAGTCAGGGTGTGACAATTACACACCCTGTGTAATTGTCACAATAGTTTGATTGTAAATTATATATGGAACTATAGACTATATAGATCTGGCTATGTGAGACTACTTTGAATTAATCCCTTTTCTTTGCATGACACATTGACATTACAGTACAGAATGGCTCTTTCGACATTATACTGAATATTGTATAAGCATTCATTTCATGTGTCACTGAACAGAAGAAAGACCCTCGGGAGCGCTCATAAACGTCACTCACATCCTTTTGATTTTCCTGGCAAAAACTTCCTGAGTCCTTCACATAAAAGTCAGTCAACAGGCTTTCATAGACAACACATTAAAACGAATAATACATGAAAATCTTACATATAGCCCCTTTAATAATGGTAAATGAAAACCATAATAATTTATTCACTTTCCTTCCTCATCCTCTACTTCATCTAATTTTTTGCCTGTTTTCGCAGTGAGTGATGAAGTGAATTCTCTTGGTGAGTGTGAACTTTTGGGTGAGGGTGGGGGAACACTGATTCATGTAATTGCACAGCAGATTTACTCTGATTTACACTTGTCTATCTCTCACATTCTCACTTTCTCTTCTTGCTCTCCATGTTTTATATAAGACTTTGTACGTCACTGATTATTAAATCCATCTAAATTCACCCTGCAAATGCATGAGTAAGGAAATGATAGCGGGGTAGAGAGGGATGCAGACAAAAAAAAGTGTGGCAGCACTCAGCATAAGGGTTGCAGTCGACCGCAGAGTAGCTGCATATTTAATGTGCCCTTTGGTTGTGAGTTTAATCCTAACGTTAAGATTCTGCAATTATTAGAGAAAGATAGGGGCATGTTTACCTTTTACAGTAAGGAAACAAAGACATGATTTGTATTCATTGTGCACCAAAGCCTTCTGTACTCTTAGAAATTAAGATTCTTTATTATCATCATTGTTTCTATGAAGAACCTTCATTTCCCATGGAATCTTTCTATTGAACAAAAGGTTCTTTATAGTGGAAAAACGTTCTTCAGACTATTAAAATGTTCTTCACACACTAAGAAAAAAATATTGTTCTTTTAAGAACTGTTCACTGAAATGTTATTTTGCGAACACAAAATGGTTCTTCTATGGCATCGCTGTGAAAACCATTTTTGGTTCCTCAAATAACCTTCCAGTTCTTAACCTCTTAAAAGAACCACTTTTTTTTCTTAATGTGAAGAACATTTTAATAATCAAGAAACTTTTTGCAATAAAGAACCACTTGTGGAATGAAAAGGTTCCATACTTCCATTGATGTTAACGGTTCTTCATGGAACCATCAATGCCATTAATGAACCTTTACTTTTAATAGTGTATGTCATTTATAAAAGATGTATTGTAATTATATAATCTCTATTCAATTGTCTCTATAAATACACTCATTGTTAAGTAACTAATAGTCTATGTCCAAATTATAGATGCATTGGTCACAAGAACAACGCACTAATTAAACGTCTCAAAAGCGTTTGCCAAACATGGACAAGTGCACTCGCAGAGAAGAGCAGAATTTGAACATCACGGCTCATTGACAAGAACAGAAAGACACTTAACGGGATGGTTACTAAACGCCACAGCCGTTACTTACATGGTTACTTACATGGTTACTTACAGCCTCAAAAAATACCAAAGAATCTAATCAGCACCTCTTTGAACCAAGCTCAACAAAAAACTATAAATCACAGATTTACTGCCATCAGGAGCCCGCTTGTTTCCAGGCCCAGTGCACAAATAAGTATAACCTGGTATAAGAAGCACGAAATCTGGGCCCAGGAGCACTGAACGAAAAAGAATGGTTTAGTTTTCACTCTATTTCATCCTATAGGTTCAGAAAAAGCCATGGGTTCCTTCAACACTGAATGCTTTTAGCTAGCTGTTGTACATGATGCATTATTTATTTGAGTTATTTTCACCTCCTGCACATAACAAAACATACAAAACATGTGCTCTACTTCAAAATATGGATTAGAATTACAAAAACTAACATCTCTGACTTCACTAAAAAATACCATGAACCATAACGATTCCTAAATTCTTCACCCTCCTGGGTTCATACACTGTAAAAAATTACATGATCAATGATGACAACATATGTTTTTACATAACTCAAGTTAAAACATTTTCAACTTTTTTATAAGTTATACAAGATTCAAATCATGTTTTAAGTCAGTTCAATGTAATTTAAGTTGAAATGACTTAAACATCCAAGTTGATTGTACTTAATAATTTAAGACAGCAAGTTTTTTTTTCTACAGTATACCTGCCTTTACCATAGAATTCGAATGGCACAACCGCTTGTGATCCCATTTACTGGGAAATGCCTCGCATTTCTTGATAGAGCCATGATAGAGCCATCCCATTAAACTCAACATCGCCTTTGACCTAAAATCAGCATGTAGGCACCAAATAGTCTGGCAGCTGTGAACAAACCTATAAATCGGATACTTTTACTGCCCTCCCGCAGCTCTCTCAAATGGATGATGTACTTAAATCAGTGAAAGGTGTAATCGCCCCTTTTCCTGTCCTTACGGCCTTCAGACACTTTATAGATTTAACAGTATTGACTTAAACATATCTCACAGGGATCACTGCTCCAGTGATATGCATATAGATACAGACAGCTTAAACAACAACTTGAACTGATTCGCTGTCTATTGAGTTTTACGATCTGAACAATCAACAGATCCAACGTAAATCAATCCCATTTATCAGTTAGGCTATTAGCTGTGAATGATCGACCACTGAGGAACAGATTCCTGTTGTTAAATGTCAATGCTGGAATTCTGTTGATCTTTCATAAAAGGAAGGTACTATTTGTAGGCTACTGATTCAGTGTTGTAAATATTTATTTAGAGCATGCCACAATTCCAGTACCTCCATGTAAAACTCTCAATGATCCTGTCGTCTGTAAACATCTATATAAACATTGAATTGACTATTTATTAAATAATCTATTTTAAAAATATATTTTACTTGCTGAATGAAGAATAAAAGCTTTGTGCAAGGTTTTCAATGCACCATTTTGACTGATATTGGACATATATTATCATATTTCGAAGGTAGCATGCAATGTTTCTTCTATAAAGTATTATTATAAAGTAAACAGTGGAGGCAAATACACGCATAACCTCTCATAAAACTTAAATATATCTAATTCAAACTAAAAATATGTGCTTAATAATAGCCTAACTAAAAATAAAAAGGCACCAGCAAAGGCATAATATAAATAATAGACCATAGAGGCCGGAGTGAAAATAAATGCAGCAAAAGAGGTGTTGCAATATTCATGCAATGCACAGAATATCTGGTTCTCAAATTCAGTTTGCAATACAATTGTTCGAACAAATGCATTAAAACAAAACATTAACGATTTATGCATAATAGCTGCCAATGATGCACTCGTTGCCTTTGCAATGCAGCTTTACCCTAATAATAATAATTCAATGCATCACGTCTTCTGCGCTCGCGCGAATATATTCAAACACTTACCGGTAAACAGCGAGTAGAAATAGGCACGGGATCGTTTCGGGCAGTCAGATAATGGTGTGTTTCTGTCGTGTCGTTGCAGATAATGTCATTGTTTAGTTTGTTTTATGTTCGCGTGCCAGTGTCTGGACGGTTCTTGCATCCACAGAAGAGAGCGACAGAGCAACTGACGAGCGAGCGGCGCGCTGCTGATCCAGCCTTCTCACAGCGAGCGCGTCTCCATGGTTACACACCTGATCCGCTGGTCTCTATTGGGGCAGGTGTGTAACCATGGAGACGCGCTAGAGGCGATGAGACTGGATAAAACTCTAGTCCCCAGGCGCGAGTTACACGGCGTAATCAGAAGCGGTTATTAGAATGTTTAATGAACTTACTTCTCATCAACATCAGCCGGTACATCCTGACCAGACACACACAATTTCAGTACTCTTGTTTATCTTATTTATTTATTTTATTTTTTTTATTTTTACTGAAAAAGGGAACATGTAGGCTAGTCCACAATACTGGACCATAAAAAATCTCAATTGGGGGGGGAAAAAGGAAAAAAGAAAAAAAGATTAATGATATGGCCTGTCTCACCTCAGAGTCTTCTCTATGGCCCTGTCCCAAATGGCACACTTCATGTGTACGGTCGGGTTTTGTGACATGTGTACGGTCGGGTTACAGTGGCCGCCGTGTGCGTGTGTCTGTTAAAGCCCAAAGTAAACACCTGCCGTCCGAGTCCGCGCACCGTCCACGTGACGTAATTTTCGTCATCAGGAGGGTCCGCGGATATCCGCACACCCCGTCCACGTGCAGCCCAATTTTTGTGAGCTTACAACAGCGCATGTGCGAGTGACTTGAGCGCTTAAAAACAAAATCCTCTAGATAGTGTGCACACGCCAAATGCGTCTTTCCACACTCACGGCCAAAGGAACGTGGAAAATTAGATATAATGTATGTAACTTTTTCACACTTCTAAAGCATAAAAATACCGTAATATGTTTGCAGATATTTAGGAAACATGCTGAGTTCACATGCTCGTTTCTCTGAAAAACACTTTTACAGCCAGTTATTTTACTTTGAAATGTGCGTTCCGTGTTTGAATGTCTGTTTTTGTTTTGTCTGTGTGATCTCGCCCACAGCCAGTTCACCCAATTTCGACACCCGGGATGCCAGTTGGCAGGAAACACAGCGTATTGCAGCCAGCAAACAAACTGGGTCAGAGATTACAGATTCTACCCAAACTAAAAAGCCTCGGTATCCATCTAAAGATCTCTATGAGCGAGAGCATATTAAAACGCGGATGAATCAACTCATCAACTTACTCCTCGTAAGTCTCCTCGGCTTTCATTGTCAATTGCGCTCGTTCCTTTTGCATGTCGTCAAACTGGCAACCCGCGTGAGTTTCAAGTCTGAGCAGGAGGGGGCTGGGGAAACAACGATCTCTGATATTTTGAATTTGGACTGCAGTACCTATTTCGACCACTAGCTGTCATTCTTACAGACTGCACCTTTAAGACCAAAGGACCGTGGCTTGGGCTGCATCTGAAATCGCATACGTCCATGCTATATAGTAGGCAAAAAACAGTATGTGACAAAAGAAGTATGTCCGAGATTCACAGTACCCATGAAAGAGTAGGCAAAAAGTACCCGGATAACCTACTAGGCCTACTTCCGATTCGATTCTGAAGTGTAGGGCCCTGTCCCAAATGGCACACTCCGGACTTGTGGACTTCCTCAGAGTCCACAGTTCGGTGACGTCATGTAGTGCAGACCTATAGGGCCCTTAGCGCGAGTCCGCGAGGGCGCATTGAGAGGTATTTTTGGGACAGACTCGATCGTCACGCCGGAAACAGGAAGACGGTCTGATTGTTGTTATGGACAGGAGCTACAGGTTCGGGGAAATATGCTGCCTATTGTTGTTGTGTTTACATATGACTCAGTAAAGCCCTGACATTCTGTTCTATTTATTTAATGAATCATAATGCGATCGTATTATTCAGCTCGCTATTATTAGCCTATGTTTGAGACATCAACCACTGGTTGATGATCATAATGTTTGTATAAACTTGTCATAAAAACCGTAAATGATAATTACACTTAAATATTTTCTTTTCAGCCATGTTAACAATTGTCCGTGAGCGAAATCTCCTCCCATCCGTTGTCTGATTGGCCTTTCGCAAGGATTCCTGGGTAGTTAAAGTGCGTGGAGCCTGCATCTATGCTATTCTGCATTCATGCGGACTATAAGAAAGTCCGCATGAAGTGCGCCATTTGGGACAGGGCCTATGATGGACTCTTTACTATCCCATGAGGCCACAGGGGAGGATTTGTGAATGGCGGTGACGTGACGCAACTAACGCTGGTAGGTAACATGATAATGACAGCATGGAGAATATAGTACTTCCAGATTACATTCATACTGCACCCATTCATACTATATAGAACATACGTTTTTAGTGGTCGTGAAGTAATTACTTGTTAAAAGTAAGTAGCCTACCTACTCAAGAGAGTATGCGATTTCGGATGCAGCCCGATTGTCCCATTTGTCATTTTAGGTTTTAGAAGGGTGCGCGTTAAAAAGGTCATATGATATTTTATTTATTAGAGAATTTTTTTTATTTTATTTTTAATTTATAATATTTCGCTGTATCCCAAATTTTGTGCACATTACTGTTACCACAGGCTTTTCCACAATAAAAAATGTGACGAAGTGTCATCATTTAAAGTCTTTGTATCTACAGCATGATAATACTATACGACATTAAATCTTATTCCATTTTTTTCCCCCGTTTTGACTGCATTCAAGCCAGGGTTATTATAACTAAAACTAAAACCATTAAAATACATTTTAATGAAATAAGTTTAGTTTAATTTGAAGTACTAAAATAACTAAACTATAATGTTAGAAATATCCACAGCTCGGGTGAACTCGGCACAAATCTCAACATTAAAAATCTGGACTATAGCTTCTGAGAAGGTTTCCAAGTATATTGTGCAAAGCAATGATCAGGACTCAGATTGAATACCCTAACACTTTATCCCACGTGTTTTTTTTTATGTTTTATCATTCCTGTGGCTGTTTTTCTGTTGACTTATCTATCCATTATGTACCCCATTGTAAAGAGACGTCGGGGCGGGGCGGGGCGGGGCGGGGCGGGGTGGGAGGGGAGAGAGGGAGGTGCAGTTGATTTCATCGGTGTTTTCCTGTTCTCATTCTGGCATGTTCATTGTCAAAAATGAAAAATAAAATGGCTTAAAAAAAAAATAATAATAACTAAAACTAAAAACTTTACATATTTAAAATAGAAACTAATAAACCTTGCAAACAAAATTACCAAAACTTTAACTAAAAAATAGAAAATATGTTTAATAGTAAATTATATTGAATAGCTAACTAAAATATTTCAAGCTCAACCCTGTTACCCAAATTATTGTACAAATTTACAATGATTTTTCTTTAATTCATGGGATTGTTCATTTATGTGTTTAAGATCACAATATAAATAATTTATATTGAGTCCAATTCTTATTTGGACTCCATTCTTATATTTACATGGAGTCTCATCTGGAGTGTTCTCTCTGTGCACAATACAGTGTGGGATATGTCATGATGCTGGTACACAATTGGATTAAGAGGTTTATGGATTATAAAGATCTAAATGGGCTGACAAGGCAGTGATAGTCACCTGGAAGTGAGTACTATTGGATTAATGGTGGCCCAGACGCTAACCTGTCAGAGAGAATAAAAGCAACAGCCTCTCTGCAGAGGTTCAGCCATGTTTGTCTTTGCTCCTGGACATTAGGAATCGTTGCTTATGATAGTGTTAACTCGTGGAGAGGGAACAATTCCTAATTTTGATCCTGCCGCTCGTTAACCTGGCTTTTATACAGGTTTTCATTATATATTATTTTAGCGACTGCTGGGAAAAAACAATAAATCCAAATACCAGAATGATTGATATAGTGTACGAATTCCCAGTCCCGCACTTTCAAAGCAAGCATCTTCTCAGCACAACTGATATCCAGGAATAAATGTTGCAAAATCCAGGACAGAAGGGAAGACTTTGTGACCCTGAACATGAGAAATAGTTTAGGCATTAGACTACCAGCCTAATTGTTTTACCAGCAGTAGGTCAACATTGAGGACAATAAGTAATTTAAAGGACCCTAAACATTAAAGGGATACTCCACCAGTTTTTCTTATTAAACTATGTTATTCCCTTAACTAAGACGAGTTGATACATACCTCTCTCGTCTCAGTGCGTGCACTATATCGCTCTGTATTGCCGCAAAACTATGTTAGCACTTAGCTTAGCCCATGCATTAAATATGGGCCAAGCAGAGAAGCGACCAAACACTTCCACGTTTTCCCTATGTAAACACAGTTACTCGAGTAGTGTAACTTGACCTGGGCTGGTGACACAAAATAAACCGTTGCGCTTTTCTAAGCGTTTAAAATTGATGACTATATTGTATGGCGGAATACCATAACAAGTGCTTTTGAGCACTTCGACTTGGCGCAATAATATCTTCACTCGTGAAAAGTCCTCTTACCGGCTCCCGCTTCCTCTCCCCCTCCCGTTGACATTTCCGTCAATACAACCATCGAGACTTTTACTACCTGTGCTATTAGCAAACTGCAGATCATTTGCAATGGCGGACTTTGTAGATGATTATGACTTCTTTGTAGAAGACCCAGAGCCATATCTGTTTGAACCCGAGTACACGGAGGAGGAATTAGCTCTTATGGACCGTGAGAGGCAAGAAAGATAATGATCCAGAACAGACCGGAGCTGGCGAAAGACCACGGGCAAACAGCAATTGGTGGTGCAAGTGTGACTGTTGCGAACAGATGCCGACCGAAATTGAGAGCCTGTGCTGTTTAGAATGCTAACTAAGCTAACTAGCTTCCAACAACCTGTTACTTCGTCAACTCCGCTCGAACTACTACTACCGGCGCATGTCACGTTGGTTGTATTGACGGAAATGTCAGAGGGAGGGGGAGAGGAAGCGGGAGCCGGTAAGAGGACTTTTCACGAGTGAAGATATTATTGCGCCAAGTCGAAGTGCTCAAAAGCACTTGTTATGGTATTCCGCCATACAATATAGTCATCAATTTTAAACGCTTAGAAAAGCGCAACGGTTTATTTTGTGTCACCAGCCCAGGTCAAGTTACACTACTCGAGTAACTGTGTTTACATAGGGAAAACGAGACGAGAGAGG